TATTATATATATATATATATATATATATATATATATATTGTGTAGTATTTGTTCTGCCTTTATAATTTAATTTGAACAAAAATTATATATCAGTAAACAAATGAGAATAATTTAAAATATTAAAATTATGGGCAGAAATGTCACTATAATATCACAATGCAAAACAATCTTATTGTTACTAAAAAAATAGGCCTCATTGTATTTATGCAAAATGCAACTTATTTTTTTTTAGATTTTAGGGGGAAAATAATCAGATCCAGCTACATTTAGGTAACCACTTCATTGCTCACAGTTAAAAACCCTTGATCCTGAATTAAACAGTAAACCATGAGCAGCACTTTCTTTTCGACTCTGCTGTCAGGCGCCTGTGCTTTTCCTAGCAACCACATGAAACACCAGGTTTTGCCTTGGCAACAGCTGGCCGCAATCAGGAGCGACAGTTCCACGATTGCAAATGAGCAAACAGCAGATATAGCCAAGGTACAAAGACCGAAATGTTTCTAAAAACAATGCAGCATGCAATTTTATTTCATTGATGAGATGAGTGGGAGGGGATGATGGGCATGATGGGGGATGGGTGCTTTGATTTGTTTCCTCCACTTAAGGCTCTTTTATAAGAGGAGTACAAGTCATCGTCACCAGCTGACACCATCTGCTCCATTCTCCAAATCCTGAATGCCGTGTCCAAAAAACACAGCGTCTGGTGATTAGCTAATCCTGTAGGCCTGATTATGGACTTGTTGACATTTCATTTAGAATGAATACTAAATCACATACATTTACTAGATAAGAAAAGCACATACTGCACTAGTGATGGTAAAGTACATACTTTTAAAGATGCCGTGAAATAAAAATTGGTAGTTTTCTTACTTTTAGTCCATGTCTGATAGCTTTAATGCCGTCTATATGCAAAAAAAACTCCTAAAATTGGGAAAAAAAGTACTTTTTAACAGATATTCGCATTAAAAACCTAAATTTTTTTATTATTTATATACTACTATTGTATTTATTAATATTTAGAATTTTTCTATTTAAATTTTTGTTTAAGTTTTAATAATTTTGCTATGTGCTTTTATAATTTGTATTCGTTTTATAAAGTATCTTTATTTAGATTTAATTAAATTTTTTGTGCAACTATTTCAATTACTTTATTAAAATAATGCAGGACTAACTGATTACATCTGATTACTTTTCTAAATGTCTGTTTTCAACTGTTAGTCATTTTCAAACATTTAACATTTTTGGTTTTGATTGCTTCTATTGTCCTCATTTGTAAGTCGCTTTGGATAAAAGCGTCTGATAAATGACTAAATGTTAAACCAGGCAGGGTTAACCTTACAGTAGTAGCCTACTCAACACTGATTACTGTGAAACTTCTTTCAGAATCCTTCATCTCTTGAATTAAGATTATAATAATTGAATTTAAAGCACACAAAACCAGACTTTAACACCCCTTTTGAGATCATTCTAAGTTTAAATACAGATTTAAAATCATAACAAAGAATAGTTTAACAGCTATGATACTGTTTTTGAAATCAAATCTTTTCATAGACAGGAAACACTTGCATCTAACAATGCCTGAAAGAACAGTTAATCTTAAAATAAATAAATAAATAAATAAAGCATATACATAAACCCGAGGTGGAAATAAAACAGTTATCGAATAAGCATGTGTTCTACTCTGTGTCCTAAACTCCTGAAACAATGGTGTCTCATATTTTAGAGCAGTCATGCAATTTATGTAAGAAGTCAATTAAATCTGTATGTGGGTGTGTAAAAAAAAAAATCAGATGTTACCCCCCTTGTAATCGTTAACATTTTCATAAGTAACTATATTTTAATTATACATTTTTTTCTCAGTAACTATAACTGATCACAATTACATTTATTTATATATATATATATATATATATATATATATCGTAATTAAATTATGTAATTCCATCACATGTAACAAGTTACTCCCCGACACAGATCATAACTTTTATTGACAACTGGGCTTTTCTTTTGTGCGATATAGCTAATACAGATATTTAGAAATATTCTCAGGCACTTAAACTTTATTAATACCTGATTATTTACACAATAATAAGAAAACTAAAATGATGCCTGCAAGGAACTTAACATGAAACCAGATGGAAATAAATCAGAATTCATGACAGGATGGAACCTGACAGGATTGGAATAAAGAGCTACAGGTTTGCTTTTGCTAAACTCACAGAAAAATGTCAAGTGAATTTTGAAATCATTTGAAACTTTGTTAATATATAGGCCTACTGGTTTTCTGTAGTTTTATCAAACAGAATGGAATGGTTTAAAGTGAGACAAAACAGCTAATACTTCAATACAAAATATAAAATGTCACCAATGTCATCATATATTAAGATTATTAGTATTATACAGTCTATAGCCTATGTATGTGTGTACATATGAAAATACACAACATAACAGGAATGAGCGCTAGTATGCACGTATTGATATGCTTTTAAGAATGTTACTCATTCGCGTTATGCATTTTGACTAGGCTATATATTGTTCCATATTAATATAAGAGTATAATGTAAAATATAAAAGTATCGATTACTATCCATCATACTACCTACAGTTTAACATTAAATCTGTGTTCACATAGTCAGGAGACCAAGTGAGTATTTCTTAGCGAATGCCGCCATCCAGTGGTATTTATTAGACGGTGCTTTATTAGCGCGCATGTTTGAAGAACATTTCCAAATACTCAAATGATCTCAGTTTTGTTATCTGTCATTTGACTGAGCTTCCTTCGACGTTCCTTTAAAATCTCCTGGTGCTTCCCATTAGTCTGGAGAAGGCTGTTATATATAATTGTATAGGCTATAAACAGAGGAATGCACAGGTATTGTGTCCAAACAGAATAGAATACTGAATGGCCATGCAAAGAGTGCATGCTGCTGTTTTCAGCGGGGTGCAAATAGCATCTATTTTCAATAGGCTTATATAGCCCCAAAAGCTTTTAGGCTTAATAGACCTGAATCATAATGAGACTATTGCTTGATATTGTACATGGAATTAAATGCAAATAGATAGCATTTAGAAATTATGTATTATACGTGTGTGTGTGTGTGTGTGTGGGTGTGTGTGATGATTTGGATATCTCTTGAGTTATGTTGAGTTAGAGGTTGCGCACTACCAAATCACAACCTATATATACAGTATATATATATATATATATATATATATATATACACACACACGTATGTATGTATGTATGTATATATACATACATTGTTTATACTATATATATATCCCAAAGGATCAAAGGACAAGATTTTTGTAATGTGTAAAATATGTATTTATTAAATTTAAAAGATTTCAATCTTTCTATCTTACACAACTGTTGAATTTGAGAAAACGTATTAAAAATGATTAGCATTAGAGACACTCAACAAGTGCCTTTTCCTGCAGATGTTTCAAAATAATTTCTTTGAGAAACATTCTGTACATTAATATTTCTGCAGTAACATGTAATATATGAATACCTTTAAAGCATGTTAATTTCTACATTCACTTGTACATTTTAACAATTGAAGAAATACAAATTAACATCAGTTAATGTATTAGGAAAGAACACGATTTAACAATGATCAATATAGTATAGTAATAAATTAATCTAGATTAATAAATGCTGTAAAAAATTGTATTATGGTGTGATACCGTTTCTTTAAACATTGGATTACACAGCTGAGTCTATGGGTGGCAGGCTGGGTCTGACAGACTGGCTTTCTTGTGTTCCTCTCCTCCCTCCACTCGCTCTGCTTCCTCTGCTCTGACTGTATGATTGGTGTGAAGGAGGGATGATGACTGTTGTGGGTCTGGATGGTCTGGACGAGCCCGGCAGCATGTACGTCCGTCTGGTACGCGCTGTCATGTAGGTTGGGGGTTTTCTGGGTTGTTTATTAAACCTGAGTAGAAGACAAAAGAGTTATCAATGTAACTACATATTCATTACATTTTTAATATTATTATTTTGCTTATTTCAGTGTAGATATATACAGTGCAATGGACCAGACCTTTTAGGGAATGACTCTCTCCCAGAGAAATAACCCATGACTGCACTTCCACAAATAAGCAGACATGAACCTCCCCAACCGATAAACAGAGCTGCACCGAGCTCAAACCTGACAAACAAAGTAATTCATTTTAAATCAACCTTTTCAAAGTTTTTTTTTTTTTGTAATATCATTTTAAATGCCATTCTGATGGTAGGCCTACTCTTGACTTCTAATAAGGCAAATTCCAGCAAAAGGACGGACAGCTTTACGGCAGCAATAAATGCACGTGTAGCTATCCTTTGTAATTACGAATTACGATTAATATGATACAACAGTGAATTCCACTCACTTAACTTTAGGGGTCTTTAGAGTCACAAAAATACACAAAACTACTACTTTAAAGCAGCACTATGTAACTTTTTCTGTGTTCGAAATTTGCAAAATGTATATAATGAGCGAGTACATCGTGAATTCATCTTCCAAACCACTTTTTTGTCTTATTCCGAATCACTACGGTACACTTATAATAAGTAGTCTACTTATATTTGGACTATTGTAGCCTGGTCGGGTCGTCACCGCTGCGGAGTAACACATACCTGCGTGAATCGCCATAGACATAAACTTAGAGAAGTAGCTCCGGTTGGAATGTTCTTCCGCGGGATGTGTGCAGTTCTGTTTATTAACCGCTAGAGCGCCAAAAGTTACATAGTGCTACTTTAAGAGCCCATATCTTAACAGCTAAATTTGAAACGTTACTTTTTTTTAGGTTCACAGTTGATTAGAAGGCGATTGATGAATAATTTTAATTTAAATAACATAAAACACAGATTTATTTGAAATTAAATTAAATGCCAAATTAAAGTACAATGCTGAATTAAAATTTAATTAAATGATGAATTCATTTTCCATTCCATTGAACAAAGTCTATCACTGGCCTATGTCCACAGCCATCTATTTTGCAATTATACTTTTTTTTCCCAGTCTGTCTGCAATAGATTTATTGTCTCACTGGCTTTCTGCATCTCATTCAATGAGATCCAAAGTTAATGTAAAAGGGGCATAATTAATTGTCAGTTTCTTTAGCATCACTACTGCCACCTTTATTTATTAATTTGGTTAGTTAGTAGATTAGTTATTAAGTTAGTTAGTATTTTTGGACTGGGCAGAAATGTTACATTTCTGAAAGTTACAGGTTTTTTAATGGTCCAAAGAGCAATATGCCCTTAGGTATGTCATCATTAGTCAATCACTAATAAAAAAATAAAAAAAATGACACAACTAGAAATGAGAAGCACTTATAACTTTCAAAATTAGACATACAGTATGACCAAAATAAAACTAACATTTACGTACTTTAATTCTAAGAAATATGGATCCACAAATTCTGAGCGTGTCTTTTCTCCCCACCAGGAGTACACTATCATACCACAAAATCCTGCAAAACAGACACAGCAACACATCAGTTTATGATACTCAATTTATGCTTAATGCAAAAATGTTAATGAAGAAAGGTTTGTACCAGATGCCATGTACGTCAACGCTGCTGCAAATGTAACTCTGGCGTTGACAAGCTCAGAGCCTCCGATTTTGGTACATTTCATCCCAATAAGAGCGAGAACAGCCCCCCAGAAGCCAAAGATCACAGAGACGACAGCCAGGGCCCTGCTTACATGGAGGAAAACTAACATACCAGAGAGAGAGAGAGATACTATTAATGATCCTGCAGTAACATGAAATCATGAAATAAGGCCAGATTTTTTTCCTCACCAGGCAGGTCCATCATGGAGGGGAAGTATTTACAGTCAGATACTCCTGTGGTGTCTGTGACACAGTCCATCCAGAGGTTGGAATAGTAATCACCGGCGCTGAGAACCACAGACGCACTTTCTGAGATGACCCAGTACTCAGTGGCCAGAGTGGAACAATTCAGAACCCAGCCACACAGACAGGACACAAAGCAACCGATCTCCACGTACATCACCACCGTTCGCTGCCTCATGCTGCCGGCTTAGCAGAGAAAGAAGATGTGTGCGCGTGCGGAAAAAAAGCTATGGTGAGAGCATGTATTTCTGAGAGGCTACGAGTCAATAATGAAATGAGATTAAACAGTGATGTTTGTCTCCTCCTGTTTTTGGAACCTTCCTTCTGCAGTTTACAGCTTGAAACTGGTAAAACTACATGGGTTGACCTCATCAGCAGTTTTTCATTACCAGAGGGTATTCCCATGCTATCCCAGATTCCAAGTCTTTCTAGGAAAATGGTTTTAAAAAACTTTCAATGCACTATAACAGCATGTCTAATGATCTATAACAAGTGAAATTAAAGAACAAATTAAAGCCAATATGTTATGAAAACACAGCTTGTTTCTCAGTCAAAATGAATGATAAATTGAAATTAAATAAAAAATATTTGAAAATTAAATGAAAAAAGATGTGAATTCATTATATATGTCAAATACATGTTTTTTTTTGTGCTATACCTATAAAAACCGACCAGATGAAGTTATGTAAGTATAACGGATGTTATACAAACACTGCATTCGGATGCAATGCCAGTGTTGTTTTAGTATTATTTGTAATATATTTGCATTGACATTTTGAATTATATTATTATATATTACAATAATGTGTTATAAAGATATATTCTCTCTGTTTTCTGCCTTGGAAAACAAAATGTGTGCTAAATAACAACCTCTTGACCCAGTTTCTGTTGAAGCATTTATTACTCATTGTACTTGTCATGATCTTGTTTGTACAGGTTGTCTTGTTTTTGAAATATAATCTCTGACAGAACATCAGCTGGCTATTGGGTATGAAGTGTCCTGGGAATACTGGGAGTCCATCGTAATTAAGATACTGATCTAACACAAAGTTTCAAATGACATGAAAGTGTGCACTGTTTATGTATAAACAACATTCAGCTATTTCAGTGCTACCAGCATAAAAGGAGAAAAATCAAGATAAATAAAGAAAGAGTCAAATACAAAATAAAGGATGAGTCGACTTAATGCTAGTCTAGATCTTCTTCAGATAAGCAACACCTGAGGACTGTAAACACTTCGTCTCTGCAGCACTTTCAGCATTGCTCTGTTTTTTGGAATCAAGGGGTCGAGGTTTGGCTGGCTAGCATGGCCTTAACCATGTAATGCGCACATGTATTCTGATGCACTCTGTTTTAATATTGTCTTCTGTTTTCAGGTAAAGTTAAAATTACAGTGCAGTGAATGCATAAAGAAGATGTTTGCATTTGATCAGAATCAGTTGTGAGCGTGATGTGAATCTTCAGTTGATTCTTGTTCTCTTAAACTATGTTCAACATATATATTCTTTAAATTAATTTTGATGTCGAAAATATGATACTGTATGTCATAATTATGTAATAAAAATGTGAAATTATGACATGAAAAGTCAAAATCATCAGATAAAAAGCCATAATTATGACTTAAAAGTCACAATATGAGATACTAAGTCAACCATAAAAAGTAAAACTTATAAGATAAAAAGTCATGACAAATACTACTAGCTTATATAAGATAATGTCAAAATTATATGGGAGCCCATTTCTGCCTCATAAAATATCATGCTGTGGTTAATCATCATTATGACTCAAAAAAGTAAAAAAACTAAGTCTAACTAACATACATAATTATGAAATAAAAATGTTAAATTATTAGATAAACGGTCATAAGTATTACATCAAAATTAGGATTAAAAAATTGATCATTATGAAAAAAAAATTGTCATAATTTCGAATTTGTGTCTCACTGAACTTCATTGACCAGCTAGTTTTCAATACTCAAACAAATAAAGTTTATTTCAACTGTAAATACACGATTACGTATTTTAACACAGAATTAACACTGATTTACAGCGTTAACGCTGAGTTAGTAACTACTTACTTTATTAGTCTTTAATATAAACTGATTCTATTTGACAGAGCGCATGTCACAGCACAAATACCGCCAGATGGCGCATTTCTGCTTTTGTTTTCAAACGTGATTCTTTCATGCTGTCTGGTATTTGTGTGCACACCTGTTGTCATTTTTATGTAATGTAGCCTACTTTAATTTAAACAAAGTGATTATTTTCACATTAAGTTAAGTGAATTTGTGAACTTATAATATTAAATAATTTTCTTTAACGTGCCGAATTTTCATTAAAAGAAATAATTAAAATAAAATAAAGTAAAGTAAAAAATTACACTTTAGTCTACTCTTACAGCTGTTCCCCATTCATTTTTTCCCCAGTTGCTTTAGATATGGAAATTACACAAAGTCAAAGCAGTCATGTATCAGTCCAGCCTTTATTACTACCCCGTCAAGGGAGTAATGACGATTAAGATACTGGCAGAATTTTAAATGGCTCACATCAATTCTGACATGTACCCCTGTTCATAAGTTACACAAGAAAGCTTACTGGACTGCCTCTAAACTACAACATCTTTCACTGTGGGATACCTGTATATCACAATAAAGACTGCCCAAAACATGAGGTAAATGCTCATTGACACAGTCAGAGATGACAATTATTGTGAGTTTGACAGCACACATAATTTTTTACAATAATCAGTTCATTAAACACTTAATTTAGAATGCAAAAGAGCATTAAAACATGCAGACCTGTTGACCTTTACTTGCATGATGTGAGTGAAATGTGAAGAGGAGAGCATTTCCTTCATTCGTTCTGAATCTCCTGTTGTGGAAACCCTGTATTTTACATTTCGCCCTGGCAGAAGTTCAGGAGCACTGCTGTTGGACCTGCTCCAGCTAGCTAAAGTGTTCCCATTAAAACCAAACAGACATCAGCGGCCAACCATCATTTCTCAAACAGCTCTTCCCGTTTTCCTTTCCTGGAATACTCAATTATCTGGCCCTTATTTAATAAAATACAGCTTTAAAATGATCAATCTCAATGAGAAGCTGCCCATACTCCTCCCCAGCACTCCAACCCCCGTTATACTGACATTTACGCACCATTTACTCACAGCACATGCTGCTCCTCGGCCACATTTAGGGCCATTTCTTCTTAAAGACCTGGAAAATCTTCTTCAAATTTTGTAGAAAATAAACATTGTCCATTATGTTTATTGTGATGGCAGGATGGCTTTCTATGGGATATCTTGGATATTCTGAGGCTTCTGAGACCCTTAACTGAAATTCAAGGTGCATCAACACTAGTTAAGATGACAAGAAGACATACAGAAACATAAATACACACAGTTACACACACATATATATGAAACAGTTTCTTTGCAAAGGTGCAGTGTGTAGTGAAGGAGCTTCATTTGGAGGAAAGAAACGCTTCAGTAACCACATCACAGTTCACCTGTGTGCTCTGACAGCTACACACACACACACACACACACACACCATGTGTCTTATTAAGGGTGACTTTGGTCTCTTCAAGCAAGAAAAGAAGAAATATGGACACAACTATCTTCTAGTTTAACAGAAACCTTTTTATTTTCCTCAGCACTTAAACTGTTCTTAAACGTGCCACTGTATAAATGGGAAAATTTCATCCTTCATATCTCAGAGTGAGTCATGATGAGGATGAAGTTTTTAATATCCATGTGACAACAGCAGTCGATATTTCATTAAGATGAACGTAAGCAACGGTCCAGAAATGTCCCACGACACGTCGGCGTATATGAACTAAAACAAGATGTGCAGACGGACACTGAATGACCTGCTCTGCCTCACAGCACTGATGAGAGAAATATTATCCAGATCAGTCAAGATCATATAGGTGCTGACACTCGCTTACGCGTCCTCACACACAGGACACAAACGATGACTTTGAGACTTCTGTGACTTTGAGGCTCTTTTTGAACAGCTTTTCTCTGTCTATGTGTGTGGCGAGTGACCTGAGGACGATGAGAAGAGAAGGTGTGGAGCTTCTGCTGCTGTCAGAAATGAGAAATGCTCTGTCTGTCCTTCTCAATCCTTATGTCATGTCCATTCTCCATGTGAGTCTTACCTTCCACCGCAATAACATTTTATAAGACATCAGTCTTGTCAGTGCAAACTGAGGAGAGATGAACAGTTTTATTGCATTGATCTTCACTTAGGAGAGAAACAATGTTTTTACTTGTGTTTCTAACTCTCTGAAGAATTAGTCTTATTTTTATCTTTTTCTGCTGGAGGCATCATGATGCATCAGTTTGACATGAAGAGCAAAAAATGAAATATAAATAAAGAAAATTGCATGTGGATTCCTGAGACTCTAAAGCCATCAACCTCATGTCTAAAATGGGGAATTAATACCTCAACAAACATAATAAGTGCATTAGTGGTCCTGAGTGGAGTCTTTAGATGGAGTTTGATTTGCATAATAAATGAAGTCAGTTATTCCCTTGTTTCGCCAAGTCTCATTCAAGACAACTATCTGTTCATCTGCCTTATGAATTAAGATAAAAGCAGCTGGCTGCTCTGAGATGTTGGGCAGTATCAGCTCATTAAACAAGTAATTATTATTAACTAACTTACAATTTAGACACAGCAAAATACTTTGCATATTTTTGTTCCAACAATGAAAATAGCTCCAGGAGAAGCCAAAACAGAATTAACCATGCACATCTCCGAAGTTGTGCTTCATTTTTGAATGAATCAATGTTTTTGAGCCAATTGGTTGGGCGAATTATTCAACGACTTACTCACACGCACATTTGCAGTCTTGGCCACTTGAGAGCATGTGCATGTGACAGGAAAAAAAGTAAGTATAAGATTATGCCAAGTCAGAAAAATACCAAAGCTCGATCAGTGCCCTTAATATGCAATAAAGTAGTAAGTAGACAAGTGGTCAAGTGCAAAGACAGCAAATGTAGGTATCCGTACAGGCCACTTATAATCAATGTTCTGAATGAATCTGTTGAGTGAATGATTCAAATGACTCACTCATAAAGTTTGTCACTTCGTTCTTGAATTTGTCAGTTGCTGTGTTTGAAATCGCTCCTTATACCCTCATTCGCTACTCTATTAGTCCACTAATATAGTCCAGTTAGAGGAGTAAATGAATACGAGTGAGCGAATTCATAATCTGAGTGCGCTGGAAGGA